GAAAATATAAAAAACAGAGTGTAAAGAAGAAAATGAAAAGCATCTGGACTGTGGTCCTTGGAGCTAATCACTGTTGACATTTTGGAGGAATGGAGATTACATGCACATACCATTTTCTTTTATTCCTTCTCACTGAATGTGCAATGAGCATTTTCTCATGTCATTACTCCTTGTAAACCTGTTCAGAGGCCTTGTTCCACAATATTGTGTAGCATAATTTATTTAACTTGTTTCCAGTTGTTAGACATTCAAGCTGCTTCCCTTTTTTCCATATGTAAAAGCGGGATACACGCTGGGAACAGTGGTAGGTACACGCCTGTAGTCCCAGGCCTGCAGAGGCTGAGGCAGGAAGATTGTAAGTTCAAGGCCGTCTCAGCAACTTAGGGAGACCCTGCCTCAAAATAATATAAAAAGTTCTCAAGAAAGGAAGAAGGAAGGATGGGGCATCTTTCTGTTTTTTTGGTAGGGATTGAACTCAGGGGGCACTTGGCCACTGAACCATGTCCCCAGCCCTATTTTGTATTTTATTTAGAGACAGGGTCTCACTGAGTTGCTTAGTGCCTCACTTTTTCCTGAGGTTGGCTTCAAACTTGCAATCCTCCTGCCTTGGCCTCCTTAGCCACTAGGATTACAGGTGTGTGTCACCATGCCTGGCACACTTTTTATATTTTATTTAGAAATAGAGTCTTGCTGAATTGGTTAGGGACTCACTAAGTTGCTGAGGCTGACCTTGAATTCATGATCCTCCTGCCTCAGCCTCCAAGTCACTGGGATCACAGGTGTGCATGCTCAGCAGGATCATGCATCTTCATGCACAAAGTGCCTCAGGGCCCCATCAGAGTGCCAGGCTTGGGGACCCTGGGGGCTCTAGGCCCAGGTGGCATACATTAAGACCAGTTGAAGGAGAAGTTTAGAGGCCTCTGGGAGCCCGATCTTAGACTCCCAGAGCGTAAGGAGATGGGCAGGAGAGGGAAGGACTGGGACTCAAGCAGCACAGGGGGACTGAAAGCCTGGAGGTGTGGCAGGGCTCTGCACCCATCTGAGAGTAGAGGTCTCGTTTTTCCCTTGCCTCCCCCAACCCGCCCAAGGGTGACAGTGGGAGTCATGACGACCCTGAATCTCTCTGGGCTCTGAATGTGCTCATCCATCCCTGACTCTTAAGTGGAAGCCACAGGTGGGGATTCATTTCTGTGGGGCCCTGAGGTCATGGGACCAAGGAATGTTACTGCCACAGTTGACCTCAGTGGCCACTTCCTCCAATCCCTTATGGAAGAGACTCAAAGGTTGAGGGACCAGGGCTGAGGTTGTGGCTCAGTGGCAGAGCACTTGCCTAGCACATGTGAGGCACTGGGTTCAATCCTCAGCATAAAAATAAAGAAAGAAAATAAAGGCATTTTATTTTGTGTCCATCTACAACTAAAAAAAAAAAAAAAGATTGAGGGACTAGTCAAGGTCAATAGCATTCAGGTGCAGTGGCACACACTTGTAATCCCAGTGGCTCAGGAAACCGAGGCAGGAGAACCACAAGTTCAAAGCCAGCCTCAGCAACTTATTGAGGCCCTAAGCCAATTAGCAAGCTAAAAAATTAAAAAAGAGCTGGGGATGTTGCTCAGTGGTTAAGTGCCCTTGAGTTCAATTCCTGGTACCAAAAAAAAAAAAAAAAAAAAAAGGCCAATTGCAGGTGGACCAGGAATGGAACCCCTGTGTACCTGGCACCTAACCATTAGCCCTTCAATTCCACCCCTGTGGGTCACATATGCTTGGAGGAGGAAGGGCACTGCAGTGCTCAGAAGATGACTTTGACCTACTAGGAATCCGCCCAGAGGAACCTGGCACAAGCCTAACTCATGAGCCTTGGCCAGAAACACCTCTGGTCCAGGTCTGCAGGAAGAGGCTCTCTCTGCTGGAGTCCAAGGGAATCCTTGCATTTTTGGACCCCTAAAGGGGAAAGGAGAGGCCCTGCATCTGTGAACCCTATCAGCAGTGACCCAAGAGTCTGGGGGTGTAGCACAATCATAAAGCACTTACCTAGGTCGCTTGAGGGCCTGGGTTCAATCCCTAGCACCATAAAAGGACCCAAGAAGAAGTAAACAGCGCCCTGAGCCTGCACACCCCATCCCTGCAGATGGGGAGGCTTTTGCCACAGCTGGGTAACAGTCACGTGAAACTCACAGCCGGTTAACACATCAGCAGGGCCCCCAGGCATGCGGCAGCCCAGCTTCTCCAGCACCATCTGCGCCCTCAATATGAGGATTCAGGTCTTGGGCACATCTCCTTCTCTGTGGCCCTCTGTGATTCTTCTTAGAACTCCTCATGGAGATTCAGAGCTCAGGGCCATGGGCAGCCTCTCCTCGCTTCACCCCTCCTTCGTGGCAGGTCAGCCAGGGGAGCCTGGTACCCCATGGACATGCCCTAGTCTTGTGGCCCCCTCTCCTCCCTTCACTCCCCTCTTTGTCCCCACTACCTGGGCATTATTTCTGGAGCAGCTCTCAGTCTTCAGATTCCTTATGAACCAGTTTTGTAGAATCCAGCCACTTCTCTGGGCAAAAGTAGAAATGGCCATTTGCTAGATTTTACTGGTGCTTTTTAATTTGTTGTTTATTGATTGATTGGCGCCAGAGATTGAACCCAGGGGCACTTAACTACTGAGTCATATCCCCACCCCCTACCCTGCCTTTTTTTTTTTTTTTTTTTTTTTTTTACTTGTGATCCTCCTGCCTCAGCCTCCCATATTCCTGGGATTGCAGGAGACCTGCTTGTCAGTGCATTCTTGATAGGGGCTGGGATTTGGGAGGGGGACCAGATAAAATTATCTCTGGAGCAGAACTCCCTTCTTTCCTTTTTAGCATTAGTGAAGTGGCTGCCAGGAGACCAGAAAAGGCCCTGGTGGGTGAAGCCCAGGCACAAGCACAACAGCCTTTGTCACTAACCTACATCACACTGTCACCTCAGCCACTTCTTGCCTGTAATCCCAATTACTCAGGAGGGTACTCAGGAAGTTAAGGCAAGTTCAAGGCCAGCCTAGGCAACTTTGTGAGATCCTGTCTCAAAATTTAAAAAAAAAAAAATTAAAAAGGGCTAAGAATATAGCTTTGTGGTAGAGAGCCACTGGATTCAATTTTACTTCCTACACACACACACACACACTCGCACACAAAGACAACCTGGTGGGGTGGACAGGGATTATCATGCAAACTTTACAGATGAAGAATCTCAGAGGGGACTGGCAAATTCACCCAAGGCATCAGGGCCAGGACTAAATTCCTATCTTCAGATAGAAGTCCAGGGCAGGCCACTGTCCAATCACCCTCCAGCATCGTGAGGGACCCAGAGAAGAGCAAGAGGTCCCTGAGGCTACCTGGCCTACTCCTCCCCTCTCTCCAGCCCTCACGTCCACCTGCCCCACCCCAGAATGCCTGAGTCTGTGGTAGACACACTTGAGGGCTGCTTTCCCTCTTTAAGCCAGCCTAGCACCTACCAAGAGCCCAGGAAGGAGGGCAGGCAGCCTGGAGTAATCTACACTTCCTGCTGGATGTATAGGTCCAGAGCTCCACAATCAGGAGGCCTGGCCTTAAATCCTGCAGGAACTTCCCAAAGCTAAAATTTGCCTTAGAGAGGAGATTAACCTCAGCTGCAACCCCCTTGGGACTATACTCTCGGGGAAGCATTCTCCTCTAGGAAGACCTAACAGCTCTGAGCATGGATCATATGCCAAAATAAGTGTGGTGCCTCTGACCCCAGAACAAATCCTTCCTCAACCCCAACTCCTCCCTGCCACCAAGTCCTTCCAATATCTCCCAAGGCCATCAAAATTGCCTTTTCTCCATCTCCACCACCACTGAATCCCTTATGGCTTATCTGAAGCCATAAGGAAAGCCTCCTAATACTGTCAGGTCAGCCATCTCCAACCCACTCTACATAGAGAGCCAAGGGGAAGCCTTCAGGAAATAAATGATATCCCTGCTGAGAACCCAGCAGCACCCTTAGACCTCAGCAGAGCTGCATAGCCTGAGCCCCAAGCCCCATATCATGCCTCCCTCTGTACCCTGAACCACACTAGCCTTCTCCCGGGTTCTCATCCCTATCATCCTTTGTCCAGTCAAGGAGTCTCTGCCTATGTTCTTCCCTCTGCATGAAATATGTTCCAACAAAATGCCTAAGATAATCAATGTAAAAAGAGGAAACAATCATTTTGGCTCATGGTTTCAGAGGCTTCCATCCATGATATATTGGCCCCGTTGCTTTGCGCCTATGGAGAGGCAGCACATCATGATGGGGAGCACATGGTAGAGCAAGCTGCTCACCTTATGGTGGCCAGGAAGCAGAAAGGAGAGAGAGGGAGAGACTGGCATCCCACAGCCCCTTCAAGGGCATGTCCCCAATGACCTAAAGCGTCCCACTGAGCCCCAACTCTTAAAGGTTTCTACCACCTTCCAAAAAAGCAAAGCTGAGGACTAAGCCTTAACACACGGGCCTTTGGGAGACACTTCAGATCCAAATTCTAGCACCGTCCCATTCACCCTGTTAGCCTGCACTCCTCCAGAACCCAGCTCCAAAGCCTTTCCTGCATCTCTGTTGGTTCTGTCCAGTTTGAACACCCACCTGCCGTTCTTCTCATTTAGAACAGAGATGATATTTTACAGCTGTCTTCTGCACCTGCCTCTGAGCTCCATGGAGACAAAGTGGGCATCCTTCCTTTCCTCTGCTTCTCTCCTTTCTCACCACTGTATCCCCAGCAACTGGTACAACATCTGGTTGGTGCTCAATAAATATGTGTTTAGAGGATAAATGAGTGAATCAACTCTCTGAGGTGAGTATGCTGTTATCCCCACTTCACAGACACAGAAACTGAGGCTCTGGGAGTAGCCAGCTCAAGGTTCCATAACTGACAAGTGGCAAGCAGGGGAGAGCCAAGTCAGAAGGCACAGCGCGCATTCGAAACCACTTCAGATCCTGCATGAGGTGCCTCGGCCTCAGTGTCTATCTTGCTCTCCCAACAGGCTCTGCGAGGGCTGTGAGGCTGGCCCGGTCTCCCCTGCCTGGCAATTGCCCGCAGAACTATGGAGAGCCTGAGTGAACTACAGAACCCACTGCTGCCTGGGAGCCCCGCCCACCTCCACAGCCCCGCCCACCTCCGCAGCCCTTATCCCTACGCAGAGGCCCCGCCCAGCTGGTCCTACCAGGAGAAGCTCTACTCCTACCTCCTGGGTGGTGCTGGCCCTGCTCACACCCACCAACTCTTGGACCCAGGGTCCCTGCAGCTGGCTGTGGAGGCCTGGTATCGGCCCAGCTGCCTCTTGGGAAGGGACAAGGTCAAGGAGCCCCGGGCAGGCAGCTGTGAGACCAGCTTCACAGAGGCCAAGGAGCCCCAGGCAGGGCCTACAGAGCAGTGCACGGAACCTGGCCAAGCTGAAGAGGATGTCACTATCCATACTGTGTCCTACGGGGTTCAAGAGGAGCTGCAGGGCCAGGAGGACAGCCAGGAGGAGGAGGAGGAGGAGGTGAGCAGATATGTTTAAGATGCAGACTCCCAGGAGCAGATGCAGATTGAACAGGCTTGGACGATGGCTCAGGAATCTATTTGCCACCAAAGGAAAGGTTCTTCTGACCCAGGTGCAGCCCACACTTTGAAAAACACTAGCTTAGCTGGGCACCATGGCACACACCTGTAATCCCAGTGACTCAGGAGGCTGAGGCAGGAGGATGGTAAGTTTAAGGCCAGCCTCAGCAACTTATCAAGACCATGTGTCAAATAAAAAGTAAAAAGAGTTGGGAATGTAGTGCAATGCAAAGGTAACCCTGGATTTCATCCCCAATAGAGAGAGAGAGAGAGAGAGAGAGAGAGAGAAACATTAGCTTGTGTTGAATATTTATTAAGACAAGTGATAAATGACAACTACTTATCACTCAAAAACAACATTATTATTTTGGTGGATGGATGATTGTCTAAATCTCTTTTTATTCACATGGGTTTTTTCCTCTTCACCTTTCCCCCAAAGAGATCTTTCTATTCATAGTTTCATAGCCTGGTTTTTCAATATTGCTCCATATAATTTAATATTTTTTTTTTTAATTTTTTATTGTGGGTTGTTCAAAACATTACAAATTTCTTGACATATCATATTCCACACTTTGATTCTAGTGGGTTATATAATTTAATATTTTCCACAAGGTGTTTTTTAAACTTGTGTGGTCTTCCTTATGACTTCTTCTGTCGTTTATTAACTCAATCTCCTGGTCACTGGGCATTGAGAGTGTTTCTCATCTTTCACACAATTGCTATGCTATGATGAACATCCCTGGATATAGAGACTTGCATTTTCCTGGAGATAAATTCCCAAGAGTAGATTCAGGTCTGTCAAGGCTTTTGGTAGAGCTGCAAGATCAACCTACACTCCCTGTCGCTCCACATCATTGCCCTGGATAGTACCTTTTTTATTTCTTTTGAACCCTTGCCAGTCTGACAGGGCTGGGGTGACCCCACTGTTCCACAGAGTGAGGCAACCTCCACAGAGAGTGAAAGTGAAGACAACTTCCTCAGGCTGCCTCCCAGGGACCACCTGGGTCTTACTCTCTTCTCCATGCTCTGCTGCTTTTGGCCACTGGGCATCGCTGCCTTCTATTTCTCCCAGGGGGTAAGTACACCTGGGGCCCAGGGCTGCTTCTCTGGCCACCTTTCCCCACTGGAGGGCTTGACACCCTCATCTGCAGAATGGGGTCCTGGTGGGCTGGACTGTTTTGTGGGTGTGAGGCTGCTCCCTTACATCAGCACGTCTCTCTCCCTAGACCACCAAGGCCATCTCCAAAGGGGACTTCCGCCTGGCCAGCACCACCTCCCGCCGGGCCCTTTTCCTGGCCACACTCTCCATCGCAGTGGGGGCTGGCCTCTATGTGGCTGTGGTGGTAGCTCTGGCAGCTTACATGTCCCAGAACGGACATGGCTAGTGGCCAGTAGAACCTGCATCCTGATTCCCCTGGTCTACCTGAGGAAGCCGCGGGGCTTGGGGCTGCAGACCACGAAGAGTCCTGGCCCCCAGAACCGTGAACGTGGCGTGCAGAGCTCAACCTTCACTTCTTCCCACCCATTGCTCCCAGCCTCGGAGCAGGCCAGGACCACTGACAGGAAGCAGAATCAGGGCTGTCCACCCTGCCTACAAAGGCCTAGCCTGGCCCATTCTGCTCATCCTCTATAGGGTCTCCCACCCTGAAGGCAGCCCACCAGCTACTCACCAGCTTCCCCACAGAGAAAGAGCAGGAGGTTCCAGGGAAGGAAAGGGGTTGCCAGGGGACAGGAGTCCTTACCTACTCCTTTTAGCCCATTGGGGTCTTCACCTGGGGACAGCTTGAGCAGCTTCTCCCAAGTCTACTCTCTGGCCCCATGGTGCCCCAACCCAGTCAGTCAGGAAGGAAAAACATGGAGACGAGGTGCACTGTCTGATTCTGGGAACTGTTTGTCTCCCCTGTGAGCAAGTAAGACATTAGACCCTGGATAGAGAAGGGAGTCTCAGCATGTAAACTCTGAACCAAGGGCAGGACCCTGGAGCTGCAAGAACAAAAGGCGAATGCAAAGGCAGAGAGACCTAGGGCCCTGAAACACTGCTGGACCTCACGGGCCTCCCCCTGTGCCCCAGATCCCCACTCCTACCATCCTTTCTAGGCTTTGCCTGGGGGGTCCGAAGCTGCTGTCCTCCCAGGGAGACTGAGAGAACATGCCCTCAGCCCAGCCACAGGGCACAGAGCCCTAGGTCCAGCCTTCAGGAAAGATGGCAAGGAAAGGGGGGATGAGTCTAGAGGAGAGGAGAGTCCCAGGAGAGGGGAGTGCTAAGGAGCCAGCCGAACTCAGGAGGATCTTTCCAGAGAAGGGGTCCTCTGAGCAAGGCCTAGAAAGATGAGTAGAATCCTCCTAAGGGAATTGTTTCCACATAACTCCTTGTCTCGGTGGGCAGGGCTGTGGCAAGGGCCCCCCTGGGGTTTCCAAGCTATTTAGATGCTGCCTGAAACATTCAAGCTGGAGCCAAATGGCAGCCATTTCTGAGTACTCTGCCAACATAAGGAGCAAGGTTGAGCTGCTCTCTCAAAGGCCAGTAATGTTTTCTCATCTCTGAATGCTGGGGGTTCAGTGGTTGGGCCCATGGCCAGGCTAGGGGCATTGTCACTGATATGTCAGGGTTGCTCTTGACACCTGCCTCCCACCCCCACCCATCAGGCAGACAGGCAGGCAGCACCTTGGGAAGGCAGGCCCCTGGGGGCTCCAGTTACGAGATGATTGCTGCAAGATTTGGGGAATGTGGTTATTCCTGTGCCCCGTCCAGAGCTCAGATGGGGTTATGGCTCTACCCCCCACGAATCCTTGTCCCACATCTTCCCTTACATTATGCATCACCCAGCCCTTCAATCCCTGCAACACTGGCAGTTTTAATTCCCCTTATTGTATTTATTTATCCTGGTAATAAACTTTTCTGTAACACTTGGTGCCCTCTGGGCCTCTCTTACTGTCCTCGCCTGTGGCCACCATGCCCGCATCCCATGTTCCTCCAGTATTGACCTCCATCATCATCTCTGCTGCTTCTGACCACCAGCAGCCTCTGGAGAGGACAAGCCCAGTTTGGGCTTCAGGAGGCGGGGTGACCAGAGGCCCTGCCAGCCCAGGATGTACTCCTCTGGATGTAGGCAATAGGCCTGCATAGGTAAGACAAGGCAGGATCTATGCCTGGAGAAAAATCCCTCATAGGCTCAAGAGCCTCAGAGATCACTTGAAGGAATGTGAGCTGTAAGGGTCCACAGAATTGCCTGGAGCTGCCAAGAGTGGACATAGGGTGTAGGGAGCCAACGGCTCCATTCCCCTGCTGTCTATTCTTGCATCCCCCATATCTTCCATCCCAGGAGCTGTTCTTGCTGCGGGTGGTTGGGAAGCTATCTCTACCTGCCTCAGGCTCTAGCCTCAGCAGCAAATCCCCAACATCTTCTTAGACCTGGACCACCTTGCTCCTGCCTGGGTGAGCAGAGGAACTGGCCTGGCCTTTAGACCACTGAGTATGGGAGACCTGGACAGGTAGGTTATGCACACCATGCACTCTGTGTGCACCTACTTGCACAGCTCTGCACTTCTGCACACTCACACACACATGCATGTGCGCGCGTTCATGCACACCACCTAGGTTGGGTGTCCCTGGAAGAGATTAGTAAGCAGTATGCACTTATGGAAGGGTAGTGTGGGCAACTGTGACACAGTCTCAACTTACAGTCTGGGCCAACCCTCAGAAGAGCCAGGATGCCCTCCAGAATTGATACAAGGCAGAGCAAAGGGCCGAGTCTTTCTACCTTTTTATCCATCAGTCACTGGACGTGGGCCACCCGAAAGGGATGTGACCTTGAGCAAGGCACCTTTATTCAGCTGCAGTGACAACCCCCCACCCCCACCCCACCAAGGGAACTTGTTCTGAAACTGTTCACTGCCAGCACCTACAGCAGCTGGGGAGCTGTCCATCCTTCCTGAAGGGCTCTGGGTGCCACATCACTGTGTCCACCTCATCCCATACTGAGCAGATATGCCAGTGTCAACCAGTGTCTCCTCTTCCCTTCCCTCTACACACTGAAAGCCACTTCCAGGAGACTCTGTGACACATGGCCAACAGGCAGAAAAAGTAGAAAATGCAAGAGAAATAACCCAGGCTCCAGGCAATGGCCAATGCGGGTAGGTGGGTAAATAGCCTTGATGTCTTGCCCCTTGGGTGGAAGAAGACCAGTCCGATTCCACACTGGTTCCCAGAGGTCCACAGCAACAGTCTGCTCAGCAGCCTGCCCCTCCCTGCTGCTTCTTCTGTCTTCCTCCCCACTTCTGCTCACTGGTGTCGCCTCTCGGTAAACTGCCTGCCAGTGAACCCTTTTCTCACGGTTGGCTTTGTAGGGAGCCCAAATCCAGGCACACAAGTATGTTCACACTCACCTATATGCACCTGCTTGCACACACATGCACCTACACAGACAGACCTGTATCGCATGCACAGCCATGCAGCTATGTATGCCTTCATTCACAGACAAAAACTGCAGGAGCCCAGGCACCTGAGCACCCGTTGTGCAGGGGTAAGAAGGGGGCGTGGCGGTTGAGCAGTCTCACCTGGTCCCCTGCTCTGGGGCCTCATCACATCACCAGGCACTGCCCAGTCCAGCCTCTGCTTGGGCTAAGCGGACTCCTCACAGCCCAGCAAATTCCCACCTCCTTCCCAGCCCCAGTATGTTATGCCAGGCCTTGAGAAGAAGAAAGCCAAGTGATTTTATATTTGGTTTGATTTGTATTTATTTAATTTTGAGGTGGGGTCTTCCCATGTGGCCCAGGCTGGTCTCCCACTCCTGACTCCGCGGTTCAAACCATCCCACTGTTCAGCCTCCAGAGTGCCGAGTTGCCTGGCTCGATTTACTATTTCCACCCCTTTCACCTCCCTCCCCACTCTCAACCGCAAATCAGGTTCTACAGGAGAAAGGGGGATCAGAAACGGAGCCCTGCAGGCTTCCCCTGCCCACCTCTACCCGCTAGGAAGGACCCGTCCTGTGGAGCCTGGGCTTGTCCTTCAGTTCTTGGAGCACAGGCTCAGTGACACTCTGGGCGCCTGGCTGAGGCCTGCCTCTGGCTTGCCTGGGGCGCTTGAGGCCTCCTGCTTCCCAGCTCTGCCTGTGCCTCCTGCCTGAGGCTCCTGGGAAGCTGGGGGGCTCCAGTCCCTCCCTTTCAGGCTGGCAGAGAGAGGCTGGGGGTAGGGAGGGTGCCCTGGGTAAAGGTGCCCATGATGAGCTGCAGTGCCAGCACATCTGTGCAAATATTACCAATTATTTTGCTCACTATAAACACCCAGCAGGAAGGCAGGGAAGCAACCAACCCAAACTGTTTAAAATAGAAACCGAAATTGCCGCACAGGGAAGTCGGGGCAGCCGGCAGAGCAGGGGCCCTGCACCAAGAATCCAGAGTCTCCCCCCACCAGCTGCCCTCAAATGGCACCTGTTCCCACTGCCCCCCACCTCCCAACCCCACCACCATGCTCTCCTCCACAGCCAGGCAGGAATAAGATGGGCAAGATCCTCACCTGGAGGATGGGGGACTTAGGGAGGGGTGCCAAGCAGTATGCTGGGCTGGGAGGCTGAGGACTGAGCAAGGTGGACACAGAGGAACAAGGAGCTGAGGCCATCTAGTCTGTGATGGCCAGCTGCAGGGCCAATTCCTGTCCTGGGTAGGCCACAGGGCCAAGGGTGCCATGTGGGAAGGAATGAGGAGACGAAGTCCTATTCATTGAATCCCAGCCCCCGGGGAAGAAGGGGTGTCCTAGAGTGGCAGGCCAGGGCCTGCAGCAGGGGGCTAGGCAAAGCAAGGACGCTGACCTGTCCCCACTTTGAATAAAAGGAATTTTTCTGATGGCGGAAATGACTAGAAACCAACTCACGAGGCCTGGGCAGCCTTCTCTGACCCTCCCTCCCCACAAACAAGCTGATGGACAGCAGGTCACGGTACAGTCACACGGGCTGTCAAGTCAGTGACATACTTCAATGCAGTTAATAAATAGACCCCATCCTGCATCAAACCCTCCAAATAGTTCCCTTTCTGCTTCCCTGGCTCCTCTCTAGGACCCCCAGCCCTCCCCCACCCCAGAATGAAGGGTCAGCAGCTGCCACAGCAGCCCTTCCCCAAATACATTGGTTCCTACTGGAACTGAACTGCTAATTAAATATCCCCAATGTCACCCTGCCTGCTCGCCCACGAAGCCATCCGCTGTCCTGCGCTCACAGCCTCTCCTCTTCCTGGAGAAGCTCCCCAAGCAGGGGCACTGGGCAAAGCAGCCCCTTTCGTGCACCCTGTACCGCTGCTGCTTTCCAGAGATGGTGTCAGCACATGTCCTGGCTCAGCCAGGCCAAGGCCTGCTCAGAGGGTGATTGTGAGTGGATGGTGCTGGGGCAGAGGGCAGGGCCAAGTCCTAGAGGACACGAATCCTGGAAAATTGCAGCACAAGGAATCTCGGAGGTGAGCAAGCCAGTCCTTCATACTATGGAAGAAACCACTGAGCCCCAGAGAAGGTGATAAGAGGCACAGTGTCACACAGAAGGCTATGAGCCAAGGCCAGGTCTTGCTTCCCAGGCCCTGAAGTGGCAGACTAAGCTGGTGATGCCTCCTGCCACAGAGACACAGAAAACCCAGGGACATCTGCTGCTGCACCCTGTGCATATCAATACACTTGCTTCCCGGGCCAGGTCTGCTTCAGAGGAGTCCCCAGCCAGCCCCTCCCCAGGGCTGACACTGTGGCCCTTCTATTTTTGGTGGCATGGCCTGAGTGGGGCTGGAGGGTGACAACCTTGCTTTAACTTGCCACAAGCCCCCCCAGGGGTTCTCACATCCTCTCCATGACAGGGGAGCTGCTACTCTGGACAGGAGAACCCCCATGGGGAGACTCAGATGTTCAGAGCAAAAATAAAAGTGCTCTCTCGTGCAGCCCGTCTGCATTTCCAAACATTCCCAACCCACATCCCTTGAACTGCCTTTACCTCTCTCCCTCTGAAGTGCCAGGCAGGCTTCAAAGCCGGTTCCAACTCCAAGAGGAAATGACAGAAACTACTATAGGGCAGGGTCCACCCAGAGGTGGCCAGGAAGGGCACAGAGGAAACAGTGGGCAGACATGTTTGTACCAGTGGGTGCAGCCAGGGTGATGCAAGAGAAGGCTATGTTAACAGAGCATCTTAAGTGCACAAAGGACCCTTTGGGCTCTCTACCACAGAGGCAGAGACTCCTGGCCCTGTTTTACAGATAGGAGACTGGAGGCTGGGGCAAAGGTCCACAGCTCCATGAATGGCAGCATGGCTTGTGGAAGCCAGGTGAGGTTCCAGCCTCACTCACTGCCTTCATTCCACCTGAAGCCAACTCCTGGTCATTTCCCCACTGGTCACCCTCCAGCCCTTCCCTGTGCTTCTGCTCAGAGCTGGCCAGGGATACAGTGTGACTCAGAGGCTAAAAGCACCACCTCCTTGCAGCCAGATGCTTAATTCAAGCTCCATCCTCGGCTGCACAATCGGCTGTGCAATCTGGCTCCTTGATGTCCCCCCATCTGGAAAATGAGATTCCTGGGTGTGGCTACTGCCAGGGTGACTGCAAACATTGCAGAAATAAATACTTATGTGGCTCCCCATAATAGCATTGGATGTGTAGTAGCCATTATATGGAATTTCTTAAAGTGATCTCCAGGGCTGGGGTTCTAGCTCAGTGGTAGAGCGCTTGCCTAGCACAGGAGAGGCACTGGGTTCCATTCTCAGCACCATATAAAAATAAATAAATTAAATAAATGTATTGCATCCATTAACAAGAAGAAGAAGGGGGGGGGGGCTGGGGTTGTGGCTCAGCGGTAGAGCGCTCGCCTAGCACAGGTAGGACCCGGGTTCGATCCTCAGCACCACATAAAAATAAAGGCATTGTGTTGTGTCCATCTACACC